ACATTGGTCGATTCAGGTTCGGAGATGGTGTTACTCTCTCAAAAGACCATGGAGATGTTTTTTGAAGACATGTATGCCATGTATGCCTTGCATGTCCATTCACAACAACTTGGCTGTGAATGTTGTTGTAATGTCAACGAGACTTCACAGAAACTGAGAAACTTCAATGAAAGCGACCAAGCCGACAACAAGTCAACACAGGAGAAGAACTGATAACGATAAGACAAACCAAACGACATGAGAGGGGAGAGAGAGAGAAAGAGAGAAGGTGAGAGAAACCAAGTCAAGTATAGTAATCCCGAACRCAACGTTAAAATTAAGCGTGAAGAACAATTCCGGATGCAAGCACCCGGTTGGCGAAGCGACCCGACCGGTTTCGGCTGGCCGCCAATACCAGCACTCATCAGGGGTCTGTCGGTACAAAACTAACCTGACTGATCCTATTTATGGATGGACTACAAGAAAAAGTCTAAGAGACTGACGATCTAGGTACTACCAAAGGCCTACGTTCATATTCTTGAAAAATCTAGAAATAGTCTAGTTCCATAGTCCTAGAAACCGCCATCTTCAAGGTCACAAGTTCAAATATCGTCCACCTCAGTAACAGCCGGTCCTAAAAGAAAAACTCAATGGACAGACAACATCCCAACTGCGTCCGAAAAAACAAGTCCACATCGTCACTGGTTCAAATCCCACCGAAAAAACCGGAAAAACAGTCAGTCCACCGTAACTCACCAAACTTACGGACCAGAGATCAACCATCTAACCCAGCGACGAATACTCCACACAAAAACAACTAACTACAACACATCCAAACACCACACTTTGCTATGCTCAAGGCCCCAGGGACTGACAGACTCTGTCCCAACCCGTCAACACAGGCAGCCAGTGTTGCCATATCCCACCGAATTTACGTGAAAAATTACTCAGAGCACAATCAAATATCTCATCAGGATAAGATCACTTCCACAGCTGAATCTTCAGAGTATGGAGAAAGGGAAGCTCAGTGCCCGGAACAGTGGCAAAACGCCTAGCACGATAAAAAAAGGAAGATACGACCGCGACCTTCTGCTGCTTGCTCGAGAACGAAAAGTAGTCTTGGATGCTCTGAAACACCAAGCTTTCCTTCACAGGCACACGCTGATTTTTATGGCAGGGAAAACACGCCACCTCGCTTGTCTTATTAAAAATTCTCAACACGCAGCCAAGGAACTCCCAGCAATCTCCGATATTAGTCTGCTCTAATACAAAATTATTATCATAATTGTTCTGAAATTTCCCCAAAATCTGCAAAGCCTGACTCAACGAAGCTTCATCCTGCTTCTGGTACCTTACAAACACCGACACGTCCTCAACAAGTCGAAAACCCTGAAACAGCACCCTGTCCGACCCCAAAGACGAAAGGAAGAGAAACTCATTGTACGCACATAGAAGGCACGCCAGGGCTGGGCTAGAGGACTTGCCCATCGGTATACCAACACTCTGTTGCAACAGCCGGCCTGCAGCCATTACATAAGTATTCCGCAACTCAAAATCAACAAACTTAAACAACAAACGAAATTTCAAAACAATCCACCCTTCCTCCCCTCGCTTTTTAACAATTTTAGCCCCCTTCCCTCGCCTCTTGACTGCCACCGCTGTGTACTCCCGACTTTCCCAAAGATCAATAACCCATGAAACCGCCTGCAGGATGGAAGGGGGGGGGAGATTTGAAAACATTTCTTTTACATCATACGATGCCCCCACCAAACCATCATTCTTCTTACCATTCTTATTGACATTCCTAATACCAGCCACAAGGTCCTCTGTACACCGCAAATTTAAATTGGAACCTTCTGGTAGACTCCACAACATGCAGTTCACGGCTTTCGAAACCGACTTCCCACCGATAGCAGAACATTCCGGGTATGAAGGGCAGGTAGGTCGCCACCGTTTAGTGTCTTTAAACTTCGGTATACAGTAGGCTTGTCCAAACTCACCGTTTGTCTTCCATTTGCCCACAGTTTCCAAGCCCTCATGCTTATAGGGGGCAGCTAGATCTTCCAACACCTTGCGTTCTCCACTTTCATTCGTCAAGAACGCCTGATTTTTCAGAAACAACGTCTCCATCCCAGACCGATAAACCACGGGGCAGCACACGTACGTATCCCCCATGTTGTGATCCAGGGGGCAACACACCAATTTCCKYAAGGAATTAAGAAAAGGTTGGACATCATCCTCATTGAACGTAGGGACAGAGGGAGATAGATTATTACCCAAACAAAAACATGACTGAAGATCATCAAACACCGGAGAGGAAGACTTGAGAGGAGGAAGGGAAAAATGGGAGTGGAAAGCTTCCAGAACTTGCCTTTTGAGGGTAGCTAACAAAAAACGACGAGAGGGTGTAAGAATATTCTTACTGTTCTTCAACCATGTAGGAAAGGAGCCCAACTCTGAAATTTTAAACGACACGCGTCCATTACTAGTGGGGAAGTCACCCTCGATCGACTTACAGCAACATATAACGTCACTGTCTCTAGCATGCTTGCGAAAATTATGCAAGTACTCACCGACTGAGCGATTAAAGAACCCACACAACGCGTAAACACCTAATCAAGACTTCCTTCCACACCGTCGGGATAGCCAACCCCTGTACCAGCCGGGCACAAATCCTTCTTACTTCCGATTTCCTAATACAATCGTCATATACCAACTTGACAACCAGCCGCTCACGAACTTGGACCCCAAATCTTGCCAAGATACTCCTAGAGAGAATACAACGCAAATGCCCTTGTGTTCGTTTCTCGCTGAACGTACGTACTGCCGTAAATGCCACAACCAAGGACTCAAATGTCCAAGACCGAAGAGATACACGAGAAGACGGAGAGCTAAGTAGGTGACTGAGAGTTGGCTTAAGGGCCAGCGATTTACTTAAGAAGGGAATAACAAACTCAAACAAGATAGTGACATCAGCTTTAATCCATCCCCGAGCATGCCGAAACAGACCTCGTCCAAAAGAACACGACACAATAGAACCCCCATACGCACGACGCAGCACCTTCCATGAGTCAATCAACAACTCCCCACCTCGACATGTAACAGCAAATCGGTAAATAGACTTCTCCTGACATTCTTCAAGAATCGAAAAAAGACTGCTCGAACACCCACCAAAACTTGGAAAAAAGGTTATCAACGACTTATTTTTCGAAAACGTAGAAAACGTCGAATATTGCTTACGTTTAGATTTCCTCAGTCTCCCCCTTAGGCCGGGACGTGATCGTTTCGATCTCCTAGCTTTATCCCTAGTGTTTAACGGCGGAGAAAATAATCTTATGAAAAACTTTTCGCATGCCCTCACATCATCGTAGATACACACAACGGGATAGCAACATATTTATGAGCTCCACACCTACGCAACCATCTATACAACCTTTCATTCCTACGTCCTTGACCAATCACCTCAGCATTACACGCTCTATACACGTGCTCTCCCCAACGCGTATGCAGGTCACGAGTAGTACTATCGATATACAATTAACGGCACCATGGAGAAAACAGCTCATACACCAAAGGTCCATTCGCAGCCTCAAAGTCAAACTTGCTCAAAGTCAACCGAAGAAGGAAACAACCCAACTTCACACCCCAAGGTATCTGCCCCGATGCTATCAATACCAAAACCGTCAAACACAGAAGGGTATTAAGTGACTTACACCGAATAAATTCAATAGACCTTAATCTGAGTTGAACACAACAGTGCAATAAATTCCAAAACCACGCCGCGTCCGGGAGCGAAATCACGAAGTGGTTGAGTCATCGTTGGCCTCGGTACTATCGTAGTACCCTGCTCGGTCTCCTCGGTAACCTCGTGAATCAGCACCCCACCTTTCTTCACTGTCCCACCTCGATCTTTACCGAAAGCTACATCAGCACGCTTAAGCGCCAACTCCTCCTTGGCCTTATCCAACGTAGAATAGGTGACCCCCTCCTTCTCACATAACGTGACGACCTTATCTTTCTTTAACGGCCTCAGCGTACGTCTGGTCTCTACCAAGAAAGCATCCCGATCATTAGCCTCCACAGCCTGCGTAGCAGGACTCATCGGCCGCTTCCCTTTGTCCACTGTCGCCACGGCCACCTTGTCCAATCCTGCTTTGAGGTTAGAAGCCGTCGGTGTACGCCTCACCACCTCCAGCCGAGCCATTTTCTCTTTCAAACGTTCAACTTGCTGTTCCGCCTCCCTTTGTCCGTTCAGTTCACGTAGCCGCCACTATTTTAGTAACTCAATTTCCCGCTCCTGGTGTTCGACCTTCTCCTTCAACTTCAAGTCTTCCGCGGATGGTTACGGAAACGGAGTTGTCCGAGCGCGAGTCCTCGTCCCGAGGACGGGAGTAGCAGTGACCACCACGCTCCCTCGCTTATTACCTGGTCGGAGCGCTACTTGCTTCCAGACATCCGCCGCAGCGACCGCTTCATCGTTCACCACCCGCAACCTCGCAATCTCATCCTCCATGGTGGCGAGCCGTTGGTCGGACTTCGCCCTTTCTTCCTCTAACTCACGCTTACATCGATCAAAAACACTTTCTGAAGACGACGCCCCGTTACCCTCACGCAAAGTCTTCCGTAAGTTCTCAATCTCCAGGTGCATCTTCGTAACCTCATCGTCTTTATCTCCTTTCTTGCTCTCCAACAGTTCGCGAACGGAATCCAATTTCCCACTTAGTTCATTTCTCATCTCCGCCTGAAATTCTTCTCGTGCCTTCTTCTCTTGCAACCTACGCTCCTCCTCTTCTTTGTCTTTCTTAATTCGTTCTTCTTCTTCTCTTTTGCTATTTTCTTTCGCAATCTCAGCATCCTGGTGCGCCTTGATCCCTGCAATCGTAACCTCAAGAGTCTCAACATGTGGCCGCAAACCACCTCCATAGTCGTAGCCGTACCCACCATATGCCCCGGAGTTACCAGCCATCGGTAAGCTATGCGCAGGATTGCTAGGCACCGTCTCAATCGCGGAACTCGGGTTGACAGGAGCAGCAGCAGGGGTAGCAGCGAACGTAAATCGCCTATCAGGTAAGGGGCAGAAACGAGACAGGTGCCCAGGTTGCCCACAGTTATAACACGTCCGTACTCCTGACGGCTGGCCACCGCTTTGAGCCATGATACTCCACTGAAGTGCTGAAACGAAGCCACTCGTATGTAGTACTACTTCTACAACGGTTACCCCGGAAAAAGAAGCTGTTGTAATGTCAACGAGACTTCACAGAATGGACATGCAAGGCATACATGGTCTAATATAATTTGTAAGTACTCTTCCTCTAGCTGGATTTGTTTAACTAACTTTAACACATGCATATAACTTAAGGGCTACGTCTGTCTCCACTCCTTTCTCCTTTATTGGGATTCATGGTTCCCAGATGGGATCATGGCTACATGTTGGAGCCTCTTTTTTTTTTTTTTTTTTTTTTTCCCTTCATTGAAAAATGGAGGCCTTCCAGTTCCTCAGTCATGATGGGGATCAAAGGGGCTATAGCTCTCTAGCACCCTGATATCCCAAGACCTCCGCCTCCTTTTCCTACTCCAAGTTAGGATGGGTCAAATGCTTGGCAGACATAATTGCAGCTTGCTTGCTCTGAAATTCATCTCCGCAAAACAGAGAGACGTTGACCAACTCAACTCACAGAGCCTCCTTTCTTGCAAAGGTAGCAATTTTTATTTATTTATTTATTTATTTATTTATTTTTGGGTTGGTTAAAGCCCTTTTACAAGGCCTCTAGCCCAGCGGCGGTAAGAGAAGCACCAGGATTGAGGGCTTGAGATGTTGGGCTGCTCCATCTAGTGGTGGGGAGCGGCACCTGCTGGAAACCGGGCCCAGTGAGTGTGCCATAGATACGGATCGGTCGAATTCAATTGCGGGCCATAGGCATGTGTCGTTTGTGTCTAGAGCACCCAGTTTCCCGTGGAGCTGCCGATAGTCCCGTTCCCTTTTCCCGTTCCCTTTAGAAGAGATCCTTGCGAATTGTGTTTAGGCACCACACTTAGGATGTGGCGGCGCTTCGCGCCTTGTGGGTTCGAGTCCCGCTAGCCGTACACTAGAAACGAAGAGCGATATATATGGTTGAGGCCTTATTTTCACTTTTCTGGCACTATATGTATCTTTATTTATATTTATATCTTTAGTTAGAATGGTTTCTGACAAAGAGTTCCAATGGGGGCGCTTTATTAATTATCTTTCTTATCCTTCCAGTCTCCATCTTAAATCTGTCAGCTATTTTGTCTTGAGAAATTTGCCAAATAAAAGTTTTTTTTTTTTTTTTTTTTTTTTTTTTTTTTTTTTTTTTTT